TAGATAAGCTGGCTAAAATAACTCGAGTATCCCCGAGGAGGTCAAAACATGGCTTGAAAACAAGCACTTTGGCAGATATATTTACCACCACCACGCCATGTGCCTAGAAGGAAGTTTGGTATTAATGTACCTAATAACGTTCACCAAGCAGACCTGCTGTTCCTACCTCACGACAGGGTGAGACGTAAAACCTACAAATATGCTCTGACTATCGTGGATGTAGCCAGCCGGTATAAGGAAGCTGAACCATTGACCGCGAAAGATTCTGCCCAGGTAGCTCAAGCCATTGAACGCATATACAAACGCAGTCCGTTGACATGGCCATCAGAGCTCCAAGTTGACCCCGGGCGGGAGTTCATGGGTGCCGTGTCACAACTGCTAGCTAAACACGATACAAAGGTCAGGCGTGGTACGGCTGGAGCCCATCGCAGCCAAGCCATAGTTGAGAGATTCAATAGGACTTTGGCTGAGCGCTTATTCGGACATCAGTATGCAGAGAGATGGCTGCCCCAGGGAAGCGATCGACTGAATGGGTAATGAGGTTACCTAAGGTGGTGTCGGCAATCAACCATGAAATCACTCGTCTCACCGGTAAAAAGCCGGCAGACGCTATCAAATTAAAATCGATAGCAGCAGAGCCGGCCGCTCCTTTGCGTGGGAAGGAGAAACAGATACCAGATAGGGCGCTCGTGAGGTACCTATACCAGCCGGGGGAACACGAAGGGGATAGCCGTAAGCGAGCCACAGATCCGATATGGTCAGTCAAAACTTACAACATAGATAAAGTTGATATGAAAGCCGACGAACCTACCTTGTATTTCTTGATGGATGGTCCAGGGAGGGGGTTTGTAAGAGAAGAATTATTGATTGTACCGTATGGCACAGTATTACCTCCCGTCAACACGACATAGAGGCAAGATACCAACGTCCGCTATAGTAGCGTCCCCGACTAAAGTCTTATTTTATGAAATAAAGCTTTATAGTAGATGGTAATGGGAAGGGTCTGACTAAGGCTTCATCTATTAAATGAAGCTTTAGATTACCCTGATCCCGCGTAAAACTAAACCCCTATCCTGTCTACTACTAGATGTATTTGACACGTTATCGTGATTTAACTTCTTTGAATTGGGAAGTACAATACTGAGTGAGTGAGTGTCAAAATGTTGCACTCACGAAATATAAGAACTTGTTACCCATATAGTTTGTCATATTGTATCATGATTTTGTTTTTGACCTCAAGCTGGGACTGTTTCTGCGACTGGTTTCAGCATTGGACGTTTTGAGTGAGTGAGTGCGTTTTACACCGCTTTTAGCAATATTCCAGCAATATCACGGCGGGGGACACCAGAAATGGGCTTCACACACTGTACCCATGTGGGGAATCGAACACGGATCTTCGGCGTGACGAACGAACGAACGCTTCAACCACTAGGCCACCCAACCGCCCCAGACGTTTTGAAGACGGTGATTGATTTTAATTTGGTGAAACACAAATGTAAACTTCCTTTTGGTCGGCAGGTAATATAGACATAAGCTTTCTCGGGGAGCCATGTCAATCTACACTTGACAAAGAGGCAGATAATATAGACATAAGCTTTCTCGGAGAGCCATGCCAATCTACACTTGACAAAGAGGCAGGTAATATAGACATAAGCTTTCTCGGGGAACCATGCCAATCTACACTTGACAAAGAGGCAGGTAATATAGACGTAAGCTTTCTCGGAGAGCCATGCCAATCTACACTTGACAAAGAGGCAGGTAATACAGACATAAGCTTTCTCAGAGAGCCATGCCAATCTACACTTGACAAAGAGGCAGATAATATAGACATAAGCTTTCTCGGGGAGCCATGCCAATCTACACTTGACAAAGAGGCAGATAATATAGACATAAGCTTTCTCGGAGAGCCATGCCAAGCTACACTTGACAAGGGGGTATACAAGGGATGCGATCTAGACTACAAGTAACCAGACATACAGTTTTTTATAGAAGCCATGTGGCTGAGGGGTTAGACGGATGACAGGGTGCTAGGGATTGAGTGTTGTTCGAATCCCGGATGGGACTCGAACCCAAAGAGTTCTAGAATCTGTACTTTACTCAACATTATGATTTATGTTACATTCGACTACTTTCTAAATGATACTGTGTCTTCGCCAGGATACAGGAAACTTAATCACATGAATGATTTGTTTTATAAAAAAATGGACAAGGTCAGGTTTGTTGGCTTGGATACGTCTTAGATTGTACATGGGCCTCATTCCAAGGAATCATATGATCAGTTTTCATGTAACCCTGAACATATTCCTGGGTTGTACGGCGGATGGACCTCTGAGTCAAAACCGCAAACACACGAGATGGTCAATAACTTCTCCCCAAAGTACATACAGTGGATGGACCTCTGAGTCAAAACCACGAACACACGAGATGGTCAATAACTTCTCCGTAAAGTACATACAGTGGATGGACCTCTGAGTCAAAACCGCAAACACACGAGATGGTCAATAACTTCTCCCTTAAGTACATACAGTGGATGGACCTCTGAGTCAAAACCACGAACACACGAGATGGTCAATAACTTCTCCCTTAAATACATACAGTGGATGGACCTCTGAGTCAAAACCACGAACACACGAGATGGTCAATAACTTCTCCTCAAAGTACATACAGTGGATGGACCTCTGAGTCAAAACCACGAACATTTACGAGATGGTCAATAACTTCTCCCAAAAGTAGAATGTCCAATGCTCCGTCACCTATCTTGCCACGTTCAAGATGAAGAATGTTGCATGTACCGTGTACAAAGATCTTGCCAGTATCATTGGCGACGGACACGTAAAGGAATTTTGTTTTCACTGTTCAAGGTCATTCATGTTAAGGAAGAAAGGAAGAATGAGAACTTGTCACATGTTGCACGTGCTGTATCATGCCACAAGTTCGTGGCATGTAAATAGTTTCTACTTTAGCATTTCATTCATGTGCTTATGATCTCTTTAGATGTTTTTTATTTATACCCAGTTATTGGTTACCTCTAATGGAATCTGTGATGTTCCTTCAATATTCGAGCAGCTGTATACCCTCCTTGACAGGGGTGGGCGGAGAGAAGGGACGGTAGGCATTATTTGATATGTATCACAGGAGTGGGTGGAGAGAAGGGACGGTAGCATTATTTGATATGTATCACAGGAGTGGGCGGAGAGAAGGGACGGTGGGCATTTATTTGATATATATCACAGGAGTGGGCGGAGAGAAGGGACGGTAGGCATTTATTTGATATGTATCACAGGAAGATGGCGGAGAGAAGGGACTGTAGGCATTTATTTGATATGTACACAGGAGTGGGCGGAGAGAAGGGACGGTAGGCATTTATTTGATATGTATCACAGGAGTGGGTGGAGAGAAGGGACTGTAGGCATTTCATTGATATGTATCACAGGAGTGGGCGGAGAGAAGGGACGGTAGGCATTTATTTCATATGTATCACAGGAGTGGGTGGATAGAAGGTACGGTGGGCATTTCATTGATATGTATCACAGGAGAGGGCGGGGAGAAGGGACTGTAGGCATTTATTTGATATGTATCACAGGAGTGGGCGGAGGGAAGGTACAGTAGGCTTTATTTGATATGTATCACAGGAGTGGGTGGAGAGAAGGGACGGTAGGCATTTCATTGATATGTATCACAGGAGTGGGCGGAGAGAAGGTACGGTAGGCATTTATTTGATATGTATCACAGGAGTGGGTGGAGAGAAGGTACAGTAGGCTTTATTTGATATGTATCACAGGAGTGGGTGGAGAGAAGGGACGGTAGGCATTTCATTGATATGTATCACAGGAGTGGGCGGAGAGAAGGTACGGTAGGCATTTATTTGATATGTATCACAGGAGAGGGCGGGGAGAAGGGACGGTAGGCATTTCATTGATATGTATCACAGGAGTGGGCGGAGAGAAGGTACGGTGGGCATTTCATTGATATGTATCACAGGAGAGGGCGGGGAGAAGGGACTGTAGGCATTTATTTGATATGTATCACAGGAGTGGGTGGAGAGAAGGTACAGTAGGCTTTATTTGATATGTATCACAGGAGTGGGTGGAGAGAAGGGACGGTAGGCATTTCATTGATATGTATCACAGGAGTGGGCGGAGAGAAGGTACGGTAGGCATTTATTTGATATGTATCACAGGAGTGGGCGGAGAGAAGGGACGGTAGCATTATTTGATATGTATCACAGGAGTGGGCGGAGAGAAGGGACGGTGGGCATTTATTTGATATGTATCACAGGAGTGGGCGGAGAAAAGGGACTGTAGGCATTTATTTGATATGTATCACAGGAGTGGGCGGAGAGAAGGTACGGTGGGCATTTCATTGATATGTATCACAGGAGAGGGCGGGGAGAAGGGACTGTAGGCATTTATTTGATATGTATCACAGGAGTGGGTGGAGAGAAGGTACAGTAGGCTTTATTTGATATGTATCACAGGAGTGGGTGGAGAGAAGGGACGGTAGGCATTTCATTGATATGTATCACAGGAGTGGGCGGAGAGAAGGTACGGTAGGCATTTATTTGATATGTATCACAGGAGTGGGCGGAGAGAAGGGACGGTAGCATTATTTGATATGTATCACAGGAGTGGGCGGAGAGAAGGGACGGTGGGCATTTATTTGATATGTATCACAGGAGTGGGCGGAGAAAAGGGACTGTAGGCATTTATTTGATATGTATCACAGGAGTGGGCGGAGAGAAGGGACGGTAGCATTATTTGATATGTATCACAGGAGTGGGCGGAGAGAAGGGACTGTAGGCATTTATAGCGTTAGCTCGTCATGCCGAAGACCCGAGTTCAATTCCCCACATGGGTACAATGTATGAAGATCATTTCTGATGTCACCCGCCGTGATATTACTGGAATATTGCTAAAAGCGGCGTAAAAGCAAACTCACACTGTCAGTGATTATTTAATGCGACACTTGACACTTCTGCTTTCAATAACACAACTTGGTACCTCTCTCCAGCGAAGATGTTGAAGGAGCTGACGACGACAGGTTCGTGTGGCACACCATCGGTGGCGATCATGATGATGTCGTGGTTGTCCACGGAGACCTGGATGGGGCAGTTCAGGATGCCGTTACTGATGACCCGGAAGCGATACTTCTGGTCCTTCTTGACATGGAACACAGAATATGGGGTGTAGATGGTCTCGTTGCTGTCCGAGCTCTGGAACTCACGGAACGCTCCCCGACCTGGAAACAAGCATAAACATGATATAAATGATAATTCATCTGGAACATGTTGTAGGTTTACCCTGAACAAATGTGTAAATGGGGCTAGACGTATCTTTGTATGTGTGAAATCTATAAACACTTTACAACAAATCTTTGAAGGGCATTTAGAAGTGGAATGCATAAGAAAAGCAAGATTTATGGATGTCAACTTCTTTATTGTGAATAACACGATGTTTCGGAATGTATGCTTGCTCCTTCACCATTCACCTTTTCTTATTTTACAGCAATGTGTCGTAAAAAGAAACAAAATAAATTTGCAAAACGGACAAATTATGATAAAAAACATAAATGACAAATAACTTGAATTAATGTGCGTTTATACTATGCTCCATCAATTGTTAGATGTACACAGTATGGCCTTGGAGGACATGGGTGGCGTAATCGTCTTAGGAACCACAGTTCACCATGTTACATACATTCATCACATACATTCTGATTCGGAACAATGTGTAATCGGGAATTCCAGCAAGATTTGGTGTTACATTTGCTTGGTTTGTTATTTAACGCCACACTCAGCGACATTTCAGATATGGCGGCGGTCTGTAAATGATCGAGTTTCCAACAGTGATTTATATCATGAGCATCAATCCACGAAATCGGGATACGATGACATGTGTCAATCAAATCAGTGAGCCTGACCATCCGATCCCGTTAGTTCCCTCTTACAACAAATCGTGGGTTGCTGAAGACCAATTCTAACCCGGATCTTTTCAAGGCATGTGCTTTTTTGCTAACTGACAACACCCTTTTCCCATTCATTAAAACACAGGTGGATCCACCCACGGCAATCCGTAAGGGATTCTTCCCTATTTAGTACCACGATCCGTTTATGAAGGGTTTGGTCAGTGGTCTCTACTACTACTAGTCTCTGATAATTTGTTGCTTTGATAGAAACATACACCCGTGAAGGTCCGGGTTAGTTTATCGGCCTTCAGTAACAGATGATTGTCGTAAGAGGTGACTAACGGGATCGGGTGGTCAGGTTCGCTGACTTGGTTGACACATGTCATCGGTTCCCAATTGCGCAGAACTATGCTGAGGATGTTGATCACTGGATTGTCTGGTCCAGACTCGTTTATTTACTGACGGCCGCCATATAGCTGAAGTATTGCTGGGTGCGGCGTAAAACTAAACTCACTCACTCACTCACTGATAGAAATATATACATAATTCCAGAGACACAGTGAGCTCAGAGATGGGAATCTAAATTTGCGTTTTTGGGGAATTTTGCATGGCAGAAAGTGTTGCGCGGAAGGGACAATATTGTGGCTCAAGGAGTGTGAGACAGGCCATTAGAAGATTTTCAGCATCATGATGGCGTGTTTCAGCAGTGGAAGGCGTCAACAAATTGCATCATCGTCTTCCCACGCCAAACTGACGTGTCGTAAGAGGCGACTAACGAATCTTGTTGTCAGATTTGCTGGGGGGCGGTTGGGTTGTCAAAGCGTTCGCCCGTCACACCGAAAACCCGGGCTCGATTCCCCACATCGGTATGATATAGGAATCCCCTTTCTGTTGACCCCACCGTTAAATTGCTGAGTATTACCAAAAGCGTAAAACTTCACTCACTCACCCAGATTTGCTGACTTGGTTGACGTGTCATCGTATTCCAATTGCGTAGATTCAAGTTCATGATGTCAATCACTGGATTTTCAGATCTAGACTCAATTTTTTACAAACCGCTTCATATAGCTGGAATATTGCTGAATGCGGCGTTATACAACAAACAAACAAAACAAGCTGACGTATAATAATAATGTTGATTGTGGCACAAAACGTAAAACACCAGTCTATGATTCAGGCTTAAAGAGTAATGACTAATCAAAAAGAAGACGTCACCGTTGATGAGCATAGACGCAGGTTTGTTGTCGTAACCGGCGTGGTGGTGGCCGGCGAACCTGTTGATGGTCAGTTCCACAAGCCAGTCGTGTACAAGCATGGAGTGCTCAGGAAGGTCATGGTCGTACAGGTGGGAGGACGGGTCACGTGACGGAGGTTCCCGGATGATCAGCGCCCCGAACAGACCGTCTGATCGGTGAACGCCGGCATGACCGTGCCAGAAATGAGTTCCACGGTTACCTGCCTTGAACCTTTAGCAGCAAAAAGATGAACGGTTGCAGTTGGCATAGATTTAACTGTTGTAATCTCTGGATGACATTCAAGTAGCTAAGACAACAGCAACAAAAAGCAATAAGTTTGTACAAATACGTTTCCCTTGTTTAAATTTCTGACAGCCACTATGCATTCAACAATAACAGAGACTTATTGTTCATTTATACATATTAAGGTATGATACATATGCACCGTTCTCACTCACGTGGTGAACGAATATCTAGTCAGACAGTAGACTTGTACTATAAAGGTGTGACGTTCAAGGTTAACGTGTGTTGGGCTTGACCCCCGACTTACTGCTTCCATTGGAAAACCAAATCTGGTTTAAATTTCAGGCTCTCTTTGAAAGCTTAGGTCAAATCTAACAGTATTTATCCTGTCATAAACATTTCCTCGCTGATTCCCCAGTCTGTATGTATCTCACCTATCATTTTTCTAAGCAAATGAAGAACTGTTAAGTCAATTAATCCGCATCCTCTTTCTTAAGAGGGAGATTGAGTGAATATGGTTTTGCGACGCTTTTAGCACTATTCCAGCAATATCACGGCAGGGGACACCAGAAATGGTCTGCACACATTGTACCTCTTTCTTAAACCGGTTTCGTTTCGTCAATGCAATATGTCAAAATTTGTGTAGAAAAAAACATCTGTAATTTATTTAAAACGTTGGCAATAATATAAACTGAAAGCCAAAAGAAATGTTACACCTCTTCATATGCAAATATTTTCCCAACGATTTCAAGTTAGAGAACCGATTTGTGTGTGTCATACAGATTCTTCATTTCATAAGAAGAGTAACTGATGATGTTTTTGTATAAGTCACTTATGACTGCAAAACCCATGTGAGTAAGAGTGTTATCCATTGTTCCGTTTTCGATCAATCACAAAAAACAAAAGAGACATTGAAAAAGCAAGATTTTAATGAAATACTCTCTTCGATTAGTATCTGGTATGACCCCCGTTGGCATTCAAACATGCCTGAACTCGTCGCCTGACAGAATACGTCAAACGTCGGATGAAAGCAGCTGGAATCTGCCTCCACTCATCCATCAGAGCAGCAATCATGTGTTGACGTGTATGTGGTTGCTGCTGACGTAACCGGATCCGATGATCGATGTAATCCCAGAGGTGTTCAATAGGGTTCATGTCCGGCGATCTGGCAGGCCAAGGCAAAATCTGCACGTTGTTGGCGTTGAGAAACTGTAACGTCTGTCTGGCTACATGAGGACGAGCATTGTCCTGTTGGAAGAGGGTGTTAGGATTCTGCTGGAGGAATGGGAGGACCTCTGACTGTAGGACCCTGTTGGTGTACCTCTGTGCGGTGAGGTTGCCGTCGATCACAACGAGGTTGGATTTCGTGTCGCCGCGTATATCGCCCCAAACCACAACGCTGCCTCCTCCAAAGGGTATGACTTCCTGTACACAGCAGCGTGCCTCTCGTTCACCCCGGCGACGATAGACCCGTATTCTCCCGGCCGCTCGAACAGTTTTCACGTGCATTTCATGCAAGGTGAAGTTACAATGGGTACGTTTTGGCGTTATGCTTCCTTATACAAGGACAGAAACAGGCAAAATTTTACAGTATCTAAATCAGTCTTTTCTCGTTTGACGACTCTTCCTAAAACAGTCGAAAGTCATAATGATCCAAAAATTAAACCTCAAGTGGTTGGAATGTGTTTTAAAGAGACAAAAATCCAATTTCAGCATTGGGTCCCTTTTTACGGTAAACAACCATTCTTTCATATCCAAAACCCAACTTTATCACTCTTTGTGAATGTGCATGCATTATCACCATAAACAATATCATTTGGACCCATTTATAACTGTTTTTTTTTCACTTTTGATTTGAATTTTTACATGATTGAAAATAGGACAATGGACCCCACCTAAACAAACATGTCGATATCCTAATTATCAATGAATTCCTCAGTCTGATGTTTTGACTCAATAGAGTTACATGATTGGTTGTTAAAACATACCAAACCAAAGTCTTCTATCCATATAACAGTTTAGGATATTCTAATGTTAAGAGGTGTAACATTTCTTTTGGCGTTCAGTTTATTATTACCCATACGGGCTAGGATACACAGGTGATTATTTTTGTGATAATCGCACATATGCTTTTAAGTGATTCTCAACGTTGATAGGTCAGCTAAGCAGAGAAGACATATGATTGGTTGATGGAACTACCTTTCATGATCCAAGGTCATTGACACTTTTTACCGTTTCATTGATAATTAGAACGTGCTGTACTCACACATTCCGAGATTTATAAAGAAAACATAAAGGTTAAAAAATATGAATACACTTTTTATTAGACATTAATATTTTGTAATATAATTGCGCTATAAATAGTAGTCTTTTTAAAATAAATAACCTTTTAAAAAAACCAAAACATGGCCGCCATTAGGCTAACCCCGATCAAGGCCAATACGCCCTTGTCAAAGTTGACGGTGACCTAATAGGAAGAGTGATAAGAATTTTACAGCCCTTGACCTCCTGCAACCTGTTTGTTGTTAAAACTGAATTCGGGGAAATAGAATCAGCAAGATACCGACTAAAGGTGTTACCTGAAAGTGTGACAAGTGAGTCTGCCACGGCGTCCATGCCATAGAACCAGGCACAATATTCCGGGCACAAAAATGTTCAATCAATAAACAGTTACTCTTCAATTAATGAGAAACAACATCAGTCCATCAATACATTGTTGTCAAACCTTGTAACTCCACCACTCTGCCCACTCATCCTCAGCCTCAGACTGCCTCCATGACGTCACAGTCTTTGTCGCATGCAGTAAATCTTCATTCTGTACATACACTATTCTCAGGTCCATTTTATGGTGGTGTATTCCACTTCAGCATCTCGAATGACTCCTCTGTCAGTCGACCATCTGCTCCAAAGAGGCGTATTCTTCCTATATTGACTCGGATTCCGACTAGAGTTATCCTTCTTGGAACTGCTGTACCTGACTGCGACCAATGACGCGCCTGTGTGTAACACGCCTTCCACAGAACAAAATTTTGTTTTATCTTCACACTTGTTGAGTTTCTTGACAGAAAACTTTCTCTAGATGTAATCGTGGGATGGTTGTCATTTAGATTTCCCAACATTTAACCGTTGACTTTCCCAAAACTCGACAGGTTTTTGCCAATGTGTGTTTCAACACTAGACCTTCGCCCGTCACTAGAGACACGCCAGTCGTGAATGAACGATGTTCCGGCGCACTGACTTGAACAAAAAACGTTTTAGCTATTATTATGTTCAGTGGTTTTGCATTTAAAGATCATTTTTATCATATTAACAAATGTTAATATATTATTCCATAAAAAATATTTTTAATGTATTTTAAAGCGATTTTACGAGGTACTATTTCCATAGCGTAGTTATATTACCACTGGAGCAGTTAGGTTTAATACGCGCACGAATACGGATCAGCTGTTTGAGGTCACTAGTCCTGTCTCCGGGTGGTTTTTATTTCGTGGTTCTTCTTTATAAATTACATCATGGGTAATAAATAGAATAACCAGCTCGGTATGAGTGATTACGGGGAACAAGGCTCGGCACTGTGAACATCCGGCATATTTCCCGTAATCGCTCGTACCTCGTTGGTTATTCTCTAAATACGTCACTCGTTCTCGTTAAATACCAAGTATACGAAAACGAGAGAACTTCCTGTGGTATCTAACGTGAAGTGTTCTCTATATATTATCTACAACGCTACAACAGACCTATACTTTAACTTGGAGTGAGGTAACACTATACACTGACACATAGTTGAAGGTTGCACGTGACTGCAGAATCTGACCCGTGAAGATCCTTCAGTAACCCATTCTTATCGTAAGAGGCGACTAACGGTCGGTTGGTTGGGGTCGTTGACTCAGTTCATGCATGCCTTATACCAGTTACTAAGCTTGATGTTCATGATGTCAATCACTGGATTGTCTAGCCCAGACTCGATTATTCACAGACCACCTGCATATTATTTGAATATTGCTGGGTAATTAACAACAATGAAACAAAACTACACCAAGTATATTACACTACGTAACAACGAATCGGCTACGGATTTCGTAGCCAGTTCTTACTGTACAATAAGACAGGGGTCAATCCAAAAGAAACTTGACGAATACTCATCTTGTGTACAATACCACGCACCTGTACTGGAACGTGGAGTGGGCTGTTATCGGACACTGGGTGACCATGCTGACTCCGTCATGATGTTGATAACCCTTCTGGAAGACGCCGTGCCAGTGGATGGTCACCCCCTCGGCACCCTCCATCTTGTTGTGCACGTTGACGATGATCATGTCGTCCTGACAAACCTTGAGGAAGGAGAAATGGTTGACGTGAACACAGCCAACAGGGTGTGCGCTACATACTTGGATATAAAACTCGAGGTCATTGTCTGTGTGAGGTCTGTTATCATATTCCGAATGCTATTTTGCTATAAATATTTTATGTCTTCATTATTATATATATTATGTATGGAATCCTCTCTTCATATATGGTATGCTGTAAATAACAGATGTTCATGATATGATATAGGTCAATGCAGTAACTTTAGACAATGTGCAGGAATGTAATATTTGTGTGAATCGTATAGCACCAATTAGTTTGCAGGTAAAGGTGTTGCATGTGGATGCGTCTAATACATAGATGAATGATAAGTCGACAACTAAATGATCACCTCTAACGATGGAGATATGGAGAAGGAAATTTAAAGTCCAGGAGAGACATGGTACCTGAGCTGGTTATATTTGACCCCGCTTTGAGCTGTATTGGGTGATCGGATTAGGGCGTGTGGGAGATTCATTGTGCACTGAATTAGTTAGATAATTTTACGCCGCTTTTAGCAATATTTCAACAATAATAAGGCGGGGAACACCAGACATGGTTGTGGGGAATCGAACCCGGCGTGTCTTCGGCGTGACGAGCGAACCACCAGGCCACCCTAGCGCCCCTCGCCCTGCATTACCATACGTAGACACAAGGATTTTATTCTGCTTTCATAATTTTATTATGGCTCGTGGTAATAACGAGGAACGTGAAAGTGAAAACGGGGTGGGTTTGACGCCACTTCGAGCAGTGTTTCAGTGATTTCACCGCGTGTCAGCTAAATGCAGCCTAAACTGAAGCAGATCATAGACGTCGCACTCGACAGAAACTAATGTCAGTGATAACCCCAAATATGAACAAAAGTACCTGAAGGGCACGAAGAATGATGTATGACGTCATCCGTCTCCATGTATCACAGGTGACTGTTTTATATGTGACAGTATGACAATGTAGCTGTCACGCTGAAATGACGCCCCTTTAAATGCCGTGACGCTACCGCATGTCTAATAAGATCCGATCAGATACGGTGCTTTTTTCATGTATGTCTGACTCAAAACTAACGGGAAAATGCAACTGTGCATAACATAAAATTGTATGTATGTATGTATGTATGTATGTATGTGTGTGTGTGTGTGTGTGTGTGTGTGTGTGTGTTTGTATGTATGTATGTATGTTTGTATTTGTGAGTGAGTGTGCGTGCGTGCGTGCGTGAGTGTGTGCGTGCATATATATGTGAGTGTGTTCAATGGATGAATACCATGACTCAAATTTTAGACAACTTGAGCAATAATTCAGTAACTTCTCTCAGGGCACCAAACATCGACTTCACACATAGCGGGGATTCAACCCGGAACTACAGCGTGATGCGGGAACACGTTCTGCACTGCGCCACCGACCGCCCTTGAAGGGTTTATGGTCTGTTATCAACCGGTGCAACGAACGCGTGTCTCTCGAAACCGCAGCAGCTGTTGCAATATTCATATCGGAGGTCTGTCGGCTATTTGTAACCATTGAAAGGATCGCATTTGTGTTTTCTCAGGTTTAATGGTATTCTCAACACGAGCTAATGTAGAATTTACATGTTGAAGCACTAAAAACTGAAATAAGTGAATATAGAATGTCTTGTGCGTGGCACAAACAACACCAACTTAATGCATGCACACAGAGACCCTTTTTTTTAAAGTAGTTTACATAATTGTAAGTGTCCTGCTGATGCTGACTGTGACTGGACTAATGTAAACGTACATGCACCTATTGTGCACCTGTCAGTCATAAAATCCATGTGGGGTAGTTTGACAAGTCCCCGTGAAGATCCGGTTTCAGAGTTGGCCTTCAGTAACTTTGCAAAAGTAGTTGCACATTAATGTTTCACAGCTCCTGAAAGAAGGGTGGCCTACCCCTGACCGGATTCTGATTATACGTCCTTGACCTTGGCATGTTCGTAACATCCTTTTATGGTACTTGTGCAATAGTAATGTTGTAGAAACATTAGAAATGTTTTCACAATTTCATACCTAGTCAATATTTGTTAAAATTCAAATTTCTTGAATTAAAAATGTCACCAATTAAACTTTTTTTTCAGGGTGTTGGTCATTACACAACCGGTCATGAAAATGAAAAATTCAAAAAGAGTACTGTTCAAGAAACATATTAATCTCTGTGATTACACAATGCCGTTTAGAAAGTGGTCAAATCTTACAAAATGTTATATTTGGGATTACACTATCTTACTAAAGTACAGATTCTAGTTCTTTTGTTGGGTTGAGTCCCATTCGGGATTCAAACCTACACCCTCAGAGTCAGACACCTGATCGCCAGCACACAAAGACAGCCGCCCAACCCGCTCAGTCACCGAGCCTTGTGAAAGGGTTAGGTGCCTGACTCTATGGGTGTGTGTTCGAATCCCGCATGGGACTCAGCCCAAGTAAAATGCTGGAATCTGTACTTTATCAAGAAACTGCAATCACAAATATAACAAATGTTATATTCATCTCTGACATAGACAATATCATACATTACATTCATCTATGCAACTGATTTAATTGATTACTTCAATGTACTTGTTATAAATGATATAAATAAATTTCATATTTATCATATTTTTCATTATACATCACATGAAACACACACATTTGCCCATGTTATATCCGCAAATGGACGTAAATCACAGATTTTATTTTCAGTTATGTGACATAAACATTCCACAGCCATGGCCGCGGCCATGTTGTAGTACCGCACAACCATCTGCTTCCTGTATTCTGATTGGTCAAAAATACCTTGCATCCATGGTGATTCACTGCTTTAGAATTTTCCATTCTAAGGCTTCTAAATACTTAATGTGCAAGTGATTTAACAAGAAATAGTAGGCTCTATAAATAAGAAACTTAATTATAAAACCCTAACTTTGTATTCACCAGATATGTTTGACACAATGTTGGGGTTCGGCCCACGGCCTATATCGTCAGATTTGTTTTCGCGTCGGCGACACATACCGTCGTGGTATTGGAGAGTGTCGAAGTTTGAAGGGGCCTACGTATACACTTTGAGTTATCCGAATTCGCAGGAACCCAGCTTTTACTTCGACATAACCAGGCATCTCATTGTTTAAACATATTGTCCTACATGTTTGAACCTCAAAGCATGTTTAATTCCGTCTTTTAAGCGAAACATATTCACCTTGAAAAAATAAGCATTATACTTCATTTTGACATTCATAAAGTCAAAGATTAAAACTATATTTCTGTCCAAACTATTAACACATTATCCACAAACCACAGGCTTATCAAAATATTGGTTGGTTGCATTTGGCTTGGCATCCATGAGCATGCAACAGTAATAGATTTTGGAGAGGTGCTTATTTGTCTGTTTGACTGGTTTGTTGCTTTGTGCCGCACTCAGCAATATTCCAGCTATATGGCGACGGTCTGTAAATAATCGAGTCTGGACCAGACAATCCAGTGGTCAACAGTATGAGCATCGATCTACACAGGTAGGATACGATGACATGTGTCAACCAAGGTAATTGGTCTTCATCAACCTATGTATGTCGTAAAAGGCGACCAACGGGATCAAATCATCGTAACCCAATAGCGCTGATCGATGTTCTTGCTGTTGATCACTGTATTATCTGATCCAGACTCGATTTGTTTAGAGACCGCCGCCATATAGGTGGAATATTGCTGAATGCGTCGTTATAACAACAAACACAACAAAATATGATTTAGTTGCCAGATCCTCATCCCTTACCTGTACGGCAGGTCCTGGTAGCATCCTGTTTGTGGTGATGATCCCCCTACCGACGCCGTCAGCAGCAACACAGTGCGGCCGGTAGCAGTCAGTGACGTTGTACGGGCAATCATAGCAGGCTTTGGTCAAGACGAAGTAGTATTCCACTGTGAAGTTATAGACGCAGGTCATAGGGGCCGCTCCCTCCTCACACTCACGTATACAAGGGTGGTTGGCATAATCTGAAATATACACAATTATTATTATTAAGTGTGTGCATGTTTGAGGCAAGAAAGGGGCATCCATATGGACACAAATTGTGCTTTGTCTTCTTGCTGAGCTGTTTCTGCTCCGAATGACAAATTCAAAGCGAATGATATTTTTTAATTTGTCGGATCGGTCACCAAAAGTATGTTCTTTGCAATACTCTATTTTTAATTTTACCATATGTGTTTTGTTTAGGCGAGAACGTGTTTGTGTCATCGATGTGGTGTGATGATGTCACACCTATTGGAAATTCTTGTATCATCACTATATATAGGAAAGGTGACGGAAAATGTTTAGTAGGTTATATTTACGTCATTAATTACTTTAATGGTGGATCCAACGAAAATATACTATTTCAAAAAAGAAACGCATAACCCAGAAATCTGTTGCAAAAATGTTGTATTTTCAAACACATATAACTCGTCCACAAATAGACTTTAGTATTTTTTACATCAGTTTAGAAGAAGGTAATGTCTATACAACCAAGTGGATAAGTTTAGAAAGCGGAGACGTTGAGCGCGATGGTGACTACGTAGCATAGTCCCCACGTCGGGTCTCCTGGCTCTCAGTCCGTACAGTTTGACAAGGTATCCTCCGATGTCCAGGCACCCTGGCTGCTGTGCTGTCACCCGTGGCAGTACGATCACGCAAATGTAGTACCCGGATGGGCGTGCTCAGACGCCTGGCAACAGAAAATTGGTAATCTCCAGCGGGCATTCTTTCAATGGCGATGTTCCGTGTCGCAGCGTCAAGACGTGGCATAGTGATTTGACCTTGGAACACCCTCAAAACCAATGCCGATTTCCGAAAGTAATCTGGATTTTTATAGCCAGACAGTGCATGCTCTTTGCTGCACAAGTTAAAATGGAAGGTGATTTCTGTTGCGTTGTGGCGATGCCTTTTTAATTCTTGTAGGAAATATCAAGATCAACAGTTTCAGGTAAAGTCGATTTTTCACTTGTACAATAGTGTAAAATCATGTTATCAACACTTTGGCTACACATTTTGACGATTGTTTGAACACAGTTGGTAATTAATAGATTTTTAAAAATACAAAACACCTGTACGTTTCTTTTTTTGGATAGTATATATGATGCCCATCACTGGATCACTAGTTCATCAATCTTCAACTATTTAGACAGCACAACATTCCCTTGGCGTTCAACCATTGCGACATGAGGCTTAATATGTTCCATCTAAATACCGTGAACACACTATCCGTGTCCACAACACATCTACAAACTAACTGACATTGTCCTTCAATACAAACTCGTGAAGACCGCGGTTAGAATTTGTCTTCAACAACCCATGCTGACTAACGGGATCGGGTGGCTAGGCTCGCTGACTTGGTTGACACATGTCATCGTATACAAAGTGCGTAGATCGATGCTCATGCTGTTCATCACTGGATTTTCTGGTCCAGACCCGATTATTTACAGATCGCTGCCATAAAGCTGGAATAATGCTGAGTGCGGCGTTAAACAACAAACCAACCAACCATATCTACCCTGTCTAAAAATTGTCCAAATAAACACCCCATATTTACTCTGTCTAAATATTATCCAAATAAGCACCCCATGCGTACCCTGTTTAAATATTTAAATTATCCAAATATTCACTTCATATTTACACTGTCTACATTTGATCTGTTTATAACCAGAACGACTGCTATCAATTTTCAGTCCGACTTAAATACATCCCATTTATGCAATCTGTCTCCTAACACCATCCATTTACACAACTCACAGACCATCCGTAGGCCGAGTCCAACGACACACTGTCTGAATACTATCCGTTTACTATCAATGGACAAACAGTCAAAATACCGTTCAATTTATATACTCTTCAAAAAAAGAAACTTGACATGCTGTTTTGGAGTTTACTTACTGAGTGCATATAACCCTTTCCAACATGACATCGTTGCCCAATTACAGTAAAATCATCACTTTACAAATTTCCAAAACATGATTATCCAGAAAGTGTTTGGTAAAACCACAGAGGGTTATTAAAGCCACTTGGTCAGAGTAAAATGTCAGTATCTGGTGTGACCACCATGAGCATCGATAACAGTCTTCTGGCAAAATGTCTGGCTTCCCGTAGCCAATTGCCTGATCGGAGATTAGACGCAGTCCAAAGATTTGGATTGTTGTGGATGATGCGGCCGTGGTGTTTGAACGAAGATGTCTCAACCGGATGTAGCGATCCAGGGCGGCGGTGTTAACTCTAGGTCGACCTGACCTGGGTCTGTCCTTAACACTCCCAGTATTGTTGTATTGGGTCCATAGGTTTGAGATGGTCCGTCTGGACACGCTGAAGTGCCTTGCCACCTCATGCTGCGATGCCCGTCCTTGTAAACGGCCGATGGCGTTGTGTCGTTGAGCTTCTGTCAGTCTTTTCATTCTCTTGTCGTCTATAGTGGCTTAAAACAATGCACGTGTAGTATCACTGATGTGGCTTTTTAAAGCCTACAGTCATAGGCTTTAGCTCAGGCTGATACACAATTTCATTATGCACGTACATTTCATGTAAAGTGCGTTTTTGGCGATTCACTACAGACGTGAGTGTAACGTCATGTTTTCGTTCAACGTTTCTCCTTGCAAACGTTTTGTCGTCGGCAACCATTCCCCGACATGTTGGGATTCTTCATGGATTGATCTATGTCAAATGTGTTTCTAAAATTCAATTTTTTCTATGTCAAGTTTCTTTTTTTTGAAGAGTACTGTGCCAAGAGAACCGACCATATAACCCCGTCCTGAAATCTCTCCACTGGCTACCCGTAGAGCACCGCATCACTTTCAAGACTCTTTCTATCACGTATTCAGCACTAAATGATGAAAACTCCCCAGTTTGTATTAGGGACATGTGACATCGCTACCAACCAACAAGAGATTTAAGATCAGCCGATGATAAACTAAAACTAAAACAAAGATGGGTAAAGGGGCTGTATGCTTTGCAGCTCCAACACCTTGAAATGCTCTACCACTGGAAATCAGAAATTGTCCATCAAAAGACTCTTTCCTGACCCATCTGGAGACCTATCTGTTTTCCGCTCACTTCAACAAGCGCCGTTGAGGAGTCATGTCAATCTGGAAACCAGGCGCTATACAAATCAATTATTCAGTCAGTCAGTCCAATGCCTTCCAGCCAGAATACCATCCATCTGTACGGTCCACCTACAAACTGTTCAACCAGGAGAGTTCTATGGATATAACACCTCTTTAATATAACATGAGCGACGTTTCGGAGTAGCTACAGCTTGTTCAGCTTGACCTGAGCTACTATACATATGCATGCCCCGGGACGTCAAATGGCACAAACGTCAGGTCAAGTTAACTTCATTAAATAGGGGAGCAGAGAATGTTATTAATGTTGCGTTTGTGCGAAGCACGCATACATGGATTCGTTACAGAACATGCCCCGGAAAACAACACTTTTGTAAATTAAGCTAGGACATTACTGACGATTTCTCGACACTGAGATGGCAAACGGCGATATGTTCGGACATGTTGACAAACAACTGACAAAGGTGCACCCCTTTACAATAATAGACCCCACCAGTTGTGACAAGGTCACGCAATGCATTAGTATTCACTTGATCAGGTCAAGCTGAACAAGCTGTACTAACACAGTTATCAAGCAAGTGATGTACATTACTGAAGGCAAGGTTATATATACATATGTGTATACATATGAGGTTTGAACAGTAAGTAAATGCCACTCAAAAATGCCCCCTACAAACTATCCGACTACAAAAGGATGGTGTCCACTTAATCATGTTTGTCTGCTATGTATTCTTATTTGCCCCAAATCGTACTGACAATTCATATCCATATTGTCTCGTGAAATTTATAACACCCAACGAAACGGTTATAATAGTCTAAGAATGTATTACTACTTAAAAATGAGGCGGACTTTAGGTATACTATGAAGTGTTGCTTTATTTTAGTTGCTGAGTATTGGTATCCAATGTGAGGTCATGGGTATACGCGGGAACGTGACACGTATATAAACACTGGGCCATTATTATTCAGCGAACGTGAGGCAATTCGAGATGTCCTTGAGTTTATATTACAAAGGCAACAAGGATGTGTTACAAGTAGGACATAACCCGGTCCTAATATGAAGGGTAAACAACCTGCTTGGAAGGTACATCCTTGTCGCCGTCACAACAGGATGCATGTGCAGTCATATAGAACAATCTATGGTTATTACATAGTGAGTGAGTGAGTGAGTCAGTCAGTCAGTGGTTTTATGTATGGTTTTACGCCGCTTTTAGGAATATTCCAGCAATATCACGGCGGGAGACACCAGAAATGGCCTTCAAGCATTGTACCCATGAGGGGAATCGAACCTAGGCCTTCAGCGTGACGAGCGAACGCGTTAACCATTAGGCTACCCCACCCCATAAAATATAATGAAAAATACCCTGGACGTAATCGCCGCCATAGGTTCGTTTTCAGCTCGATTCGAATAGCTCTATTATATTTGTATTTATGATGTGGTACCACATGAAGACCACACACGGTGACGACTCCAGAAGTAACTGTGTTTGAGTAGTGTGCTCCTGTATATATCAGGGCAGGGGAGGATACAACATTTTGAGAGGGGGTAGGGGTGCACACTTCATTTTCACGAGAGTTTCAATGGTTATTTTATAAACTTTCAGGGCAAAAGGGGGTGCGCACCCTGCACCCGGCTGGTCGTTAGGAAGTAAGGTGCTGTAGTTGCAACTGGTTCTTTAAATCACCAACGCTGGTTTCCGAATCCCTTTCAACTTGCGACAAAACCATGTTGCAATATGAGAGGCCCAGTTTAAAAAATAGCCTCCTTTCACGGACATGCCAGGATCAGGTTTAACGAGATTGAATGTATAGTTATAACTTGACGTGGGCTATTTATAACAGAACGGAGCTGTATTATGTAACACAATCGAGGATTGCGTTAGTTGTGTCCTCACGCATGACCAGAATTATTTAAAGGTCACATGCAACCAAAAAATCAAACATAATTAAAACACAATTATCACTTATTCATGACATATAATAAACATTGCT